TGGTCGTCCGAGTTGGCGATTTGATAAAACCGGCCGTCAAACGTCGCATTCTTGGCAATGCCGAGGCCGCAGTGCTTGCAGCGCTTCGCGATCGTTTCTTGGTATGCGGCCATGCACTCGGCGTGCACCTTCTTGCCCGAGTCGAGCTGAAAGTACTTGCCATCAAATTGACCTAACGACAAAAGTGGATTCCGTTTATGCACCAGTTTGCACCATTTTTGAAATACAAATACCTGGGATCGGCGTGATGGCCATGTGGCAGTGGCCGCAGCTCTCGGCGGTGCGAATGCGATACGCATCAATGCACTCGGCATGGCACGTCGTGCCGTCTGGGAGCGTATAGAGACGGCCAGAGAACTGCCCCGGCACCACCTCGATGCGCAGCCCGCAGTCGACACAGACGGCCGTGTGCTGCTGACGGTAGATCTCTGTGCAGGGCTCCTTGCACACGTGGCGCACACCGTCCCTAGAGATAGCAAGTTTAGTACAAGTACTAGGAAACGCACGATCATGTACTTGGTCTCAAACGTCCGGTACGAGCCCGTGAGCGGCTTTTGGCACACACAGCAGTGCGGAATGTCATTGTCGGCAATCGGCAAGAGCGCAACCGGCGCACTCGTAAAGATTGCGAGCTGGAACGACGTCTCGAACGGCTCGTACGTGGCGGGGATGACCACGTAAGTGTCCGATGGCAGAGGTTCGGGTACGCCGAGGAAGCAGCTGCGGTTCGAGATGAACGTGCCAGTCGCGACCACGTCATGGCCAATGTCGAGCTTGCGCTGGGCCGGCGTCGCACGCCCCGTCACGATCGGCGCCACAAAGCACGCGTACTCCTTTTGCATGTGCAGTCGGCGCGACGGTTGTTCCAGATGCACCGCCAGCGACGTTGGCGCTACGCAACAGGGACATTCCGATTCACATTCCGATGCCAATGACACCGATGAGTCGTACCTGGCACTAGGAGCTGGTACTGCGGGTTGAGGTGCACGGCCTTGCGGGCCCCGCAGGTTGCCGCTGTCCACGCGCCCGACACAATGTGCACCGAGACCACCGGGCCGCCCGCTTGAACCGGCGCACCATGTGCAGTCGGAAACTGGTACAAGTTTTTCGACTCGAAGAGCGACGAGAAGAACGCGAGGCAGGCGTCGAGCGGCAGCCACACCGTAAAGTCGGGGTTGAGCGTATAGCCCGCGTCTTGCTTCTGACGCAGCGAGACGCGCCTCCACTCGGCCGAGCCTTTCGTCCACGGTACGCGCATCGGCACCACGTCCTTGTCGCTGTCGCCCCACGTGTTGCGCAGCTGCACCAGGTACTGCGTCGATCCGTCGACATGCAGCTCGACGAGGCGGAGCACGCCGTACGTGTGCCCGGCCTTGAGCCCCAGCGGCAGCGATGTCTCGGCTTGGTCGTTGCAAAAGCCGAGGAGGTTGCCTTGGTGCAGCGACTATTGTGTCCCTGAGCCAAGCATTGACCAAGACAACAAAGACGTACCTGGGTCAAGTAGGCGTACGCGGCCTCGGCATTGGGGAGTTGCGTCGTCCTAACAGTAAATTGATGAAAACTCAATGAAAAAACGAGAAAAAGCTTACGAAAGGGTGGTGGGAATGCCGCCCCACAGGTCTTGGAGACAGTAGACATCTTGGCCACCAAGGATCGCGTCGTAGCCGCCATGGAGCTTGGCGTACGCCTTCTCGACGAGCATTGACCAAATTTCAAACCGGGACGGCGACCCGGTAAAGGACGCAAACACGGGCTTGCCGTACTGCGAGCACGGAATGTAGTCGTCGACAATCACCTACAATCCGTCGGCAAATCGTTTCAAGGTATCAAGTGCCGAGAATACGTACCAGATAGCTCTTGTGGTTGCGCCAGAAGCGCACGCAGTAGACGCCTTCATCGTTGTACTGCTGCTCGAGCGCAAACGCAGTCGGCACGTCCGGGTCGCGCTGTGCCGGATCCACGAGGTCGGGCGTCAGCACTAGCCACAACTTTGTGACATTTCATCAAAAATCGCACAAAATACTCGGAAACAACTGGGCCACGAGCGTCGGCGACGTCGATAGCATCGAGAGCGCACCAAAGAGGTACCCGTCGGCGAGTCGCCCGGCCTTGCACTCGGCCACGTCACGCTTGTGCCGGTCAAACACGCACACGTGTTGCGCTTGGAACTGCACAGGCACGAGCACCGAGACGCGCGAAATGCCATTGCCTACAATTCGCTTGATACTCTGATATTTTCAAAAAAGATGGACAATAATCTACCGTCGAGGCGATACCCGCACGGCGACCCGACGCCTTGGTACACGAGAGGCTTGTTTTGGTCCAACAGACTGCGCTGCCAGAGGAGCTCGTACTTCTGGACGCCGTCGACGTACTCGGACATGTGCTGGATCAACGACGTCGTCAGCAGCAGCATGTGCTCGCGCTTCTTGTGCGTGAGCGCCAGCTCGACTGCCTCGGTCGCCCGAAGGAGGAACCGCGCATCGACCGACACGTCGCGCTGCTCCCGAATGGTCGCAATCATCGACTCGGCCTCGGCCGCCGACTTGACGGCAATCCCCGACACGAGCTTCTTGTCGTCGTCGACCATGGTCACTTCCACATACCTAGTTTGGCATCAGATCTTATTTCATAGATATATCGAGCGAGAGATCGAGGGGTAGGTACGTACGCGTTGGTCGAGAAGAAGTCGCTGATGCGCTTCCATTTCCACACGATCGCGTCGAGCGGCGTTGTGCCGGGGAACGTGTTGGGGTTTGCCGGGTCTCGGTACAAGGACGCGGTCGTCGGCGGAAACTGCGGGTCTAAGCAGCGCATATCCGGTATTTTGATTTAAAAAATGAGTCTTGGTACCGGTGAATTGGGTCTTGTTTTGGCGGTGCTGCCGCAAAAGCTCGAGCCATTGCGGCCCGTCGGGCGCCGACCGCGACGAGTACCACTGCTCTTCTTCCGACACCACTTGCATGTTGTGATGCACCGTAATATTGGCGTTGACCTACAATCACTGTCGAGCGCGCGCAAGGGTTGATAGTACTACCTTGGACGAGTGGTAGTTGTGCGTCACTTGATCCGGGCTCGACCGGTTGCGGTCCATGGTCGCTGACATCGCTTGACGCAAGCTCAAGCTGTCCATGTCGTGGGCTTTCGTGATCGTGCGGAACGAGATGCCTTCGCCCGTGCCATGCGTGTCCAGCACGGCGGGCTCCGCCGTCGACGCCTTGACTACAAGAGACAACGAGTAAGATCTATGGCCCGTGGAGCGCGAGGCGCGTACGCGTGAGCCCGGCGAGCTGGGCAGCGGCGAGCGAGGCGCCTGGAAAGCTCGTCGTGAACGCGGGCTTGGGCGCGGCCGACTCGGGCGGTGGCATCGAGGCCATGGGCGGGACAACAGCCACCGACGACGACGGTGCAGGACCGCCAAAGAGATCGTCGTCATCGTCGTCGACCACGGGCGGTGACACCGTGGTCGGTGCAGCGCTTGGTGGTGACGCTTGCCGACGGTAGCCACACTCGCCGCAAAACATCTCGGCCGCGTCCACGAATGGCGTCGCGCACTTGACGCATGCTGGCGCGAGCGCTGGCACAACGACCGTCGGGCGGAGTAGTGGCGCAGCGGGCGGAGCGGTGTACGCGGGCATTGGGGCTTCATATGTGGGCACCGGCGCCACGTTGGGCGGTGTCGGGGCAACGTAGGCAGGCGTCGGGGCCGTGTACGTCGGCGTCGGCGCGGTGTAGGCAGGTGTCGGGGCCGTGTAGGCGGCCGTTGGAGCCACGATGGCAGGCGCAACTTCGTCCATCTCGCGCGGGGCGCCACACTCGGCGCAGAAGCGCGAGGTCGCGTCGTCGTACCGACTGCCGCACTCGCCACAGAACATCTTGCAGTATGCCAAAGACAGGATCCTCGCCGAATCAGCTGCGCGGCTTGGTATCCGGATGACCCACGCCACGGCGCAACACGATTGGCCAGATATCCGGGAAACGAGCGTAAACACGGCCATTTATTGGCTGCGTGTCCACGAATCAAGAGGCCGCATTCGTTTCCGGTTGTATCTTGCCCAGCTGGCGACGACATGCTCGGTGCTTGGCGAGCTCGCCGTGTACCAGGGGCCAGGGTGGAGGACTCCAAACGAAGCGCCAAATCGACTCTATAAGAGCTAGCTCACTTCAGACCATCAGGCGCTACAAGGGCGTCGCCAGCACCTTGCATGATGAATTTGGTCCTGGGTCCTGGGTCCTGAAGTCCGCGTAGCTTTGTGTTAAAGCAAGCTCTCGTGAGCACCGTTTCTGTAGGTGGATGACTGCGATCGACCGAGTGCGGTTGAGACAAAAGTCTTCTCAACTCGGAGAGCTCAAGAGTGCTGTGGACGACACGTTGATGGGCGTGCAAGAGCATATGTACCTACCTCTGATCATGATCACTTTCTTATCGCAAAACCATTAAGAAGTCTCTGTGATTAGCGATGACGTGTGTTGAGTACACAAGCATGCCTGCGAAGCGAGATATGGTGCGAGCCAGAGTTGCAAAAATGGCAATATGTGGTTATATTTAGCATATGCCATATTTAAAATTCTTGCGGCCAAAATCTCTTGATGTAGGCTTCCAACGTCCATGTGACATAGCTTTCCAAGCTCCTCAAAGCATCCTTTATCGTCATGCCAAGTTTGAGCGAAATCATTTCCAAGTCTGGTTTCGGTCACGGAGTGCACGGCCGCTGCGCCTGGCAGGTCGACATGTCATTGGATTGGCTAAAAAGAGAAGCAATATATATCCAATCAAAATCGTTAAAATACATTGACTTGGGAGATGTGGCAATTAGCGTGTGCTGCGCATGGATCCCGTCGAGTAACTTCTAGTACCGGTAGTGTATGAAATCCACATTCACTAAATTTCGCCTCTCGTAGTCTTGTGCTGGAATAAACCCAGGCTGTGGACCACACTAACTTGCGACTGCTTGCGAGCATACCAACATTCTTGCCGTCGTCAATACGCATGGCACGCACTTGAAGTTTTGACATTCAGATTGCCATCAGCAAAAGTACGAATGCTGTGTCTCGTGACGGAAGCGCTGCTGCCAACGTCGCTCGTGAGCGCGCCGATGACCATGCAAGGCCGGCTCTCGGTGCGCTTCCAGCCCAGGAGCTCCCAAGCGACCCACCGGTACTTTGTCCTCGACCAAGACGCTCTCTCGTACGACGAGTGCGACCATCACGACCGACCGCTCGGACGCGTCGACATTCCCGTCGCCAGCATCACCGCCGTGCGTCTCGGCTTCAATTCATCCGAGACTGAAGTCATCACAACTCACCACGGGACGCTTCAGCTCCGGTCCGCGTCGTCGACCGATTGGGGCGACTGGGCGCGTGCGCTGTGCAGTGTGGTGCCACTGCGCTGCGTCGACGCTGCGTTACGGGACCGCTTTCGAGTCTGCAACCGACTTAACGTCTTGCTGCTCGCAGACGACACGGTCGGGAATGCTGTCGACGCCATCTTGCACGCCTTTCATTGCTGCCCCGACGCTCCACCGCGCAGTGAGTACAACGCGAGCAACTATGTACTAGCCATGACCGACACTGACGTGTGTTTGGCCGACCGACAGCGCATGTTGTGCACGTACGAGCACGTGCGCTACTGCTTGGCGTCGTCGCAGCCTTTCCGCGTCACGCTCACGCTGGCGACCGACGACGTCTTAGTGCGAGACGAGGCTTTTGTCGACCCGTATGCATATTCCATGTACGAGATGTAGTGGACACTGTCCAAACGACGTGTGCTAAATATATTTCGAGCAATTGAATCTGAGTGCGCGTTGCTGAGCCAGCTACGACTACATTACGACGTTACTAGAGCTATAGTACGATGCACGAAGCCGTCACACAACACGGTTGGAAGTCGCACCCATGAGAAGTACCATGGCAGCAACGACGTTGACATCATCGTCGCAAGAGACTGCGGTCATCGTGCAGTATGGTCTGCAGTCTCCGAGAGAGGTGTAAGTGCCGACTCTAGCGCTGGCGTGCTGTGGGCCAGCGTGAATCCCGCGAGCCAATGCCTTCTGCTGGCATCCCATTCAAATCTCAGGACACGGTCGAAGCCACGGTTCGGTGCCGGTGCAAAGGATGGACTATCAATGGACTAAAACAACCTTGATAACAAAATACGTGATGGCGAAGGTAGCTAGCTTGTCGGACCTGGAGATCGCGACGCTTGTAAACGGTCTCACCTACGCCCATTGACGCTTGCAGGAAATGACTTCGACGAGGAAGGGACTCGCGACCTTGAAGAAAACCGCACTGCAGTACGCCGCCCGAGAATCTCATTCGCTTGTCGGACTGTGGTCATGCTGCAACTCTAGACAATCCACATGTCGTTACATAGTCCCCGATTCATACATCTATATTTCTATCCATCTCGTGGACAATACTGTCTGTGCTATCGACGACGAGGCCACGTATTGCCGACGCCGTTCTTGTGGCGGCGCCGACGTAGCACAAGAAAAAGCCCACGCTGCGCAAACACGCCACGTGCGCAACATTTTAGCCAATCAGCGTCGCGCGTGCGAAAACGAGCCAATCAGACGTCGGTTGTGACCCTCACGGTGATTGGCCAAAACGCCATGTGGCAAAGATTTCCGGTCGGCGACTTCAATTCCATTTTTCACAAGATGAGCTCGACGACCAAGGAGATCCCGTGCAAGGACTACATCGTCCAGGTCGGCCATGGCCTCCTCGCCTCCGTGCCCGGCCAGCTCAAGACGCTCCTGCCCAAGGTCGGCAGCTACATGGTCATCTCCGACTCGAACGTCGCGCCGCTCTACGCCAAGACGCTCCTCGCCGGCTTTACCGACCGCGTCGAGCTCTACGTCATTCCCGCCGGCGAGGCGAGCAAGTGTCGCCGCATGAAGCAGACCATCGAAGACTTCATGCTCGCCAAGCGCTTCCACCGCGACTGCTGTGTCGTAGCACTCGGCGGCGGCGTCGTCGGCGACCTCGCGGGCTACGTGGCCGCCACCTACATGCGCGGTACGCTTCACATCGCTTCGCTCGTCACAAGCCAGACCTCCTCACATTCTATCTAGGCGTGCCCTTTGTTCAGATCCCGACGTCGCTGCTTGCCTGCGTCGACTCGTCGATTGGCGGCAAGACTGGCATTGACGTCGAAGCCGGCAAGAACCTCATCGGCGCGTTCCACCAGCCCAAGCGCGTCTTCGTCGACCTCTCGCTCCTCGCAACGCTCCCGAAGCGCGAACTCATCAACGGTATCCGTCCATCCTTCCTCCTCCTTCTCGTACTTCGCTCATGTACATGGGGCAGGCATGGCCGAGATCATCAAGGCCGGCGCCATCTTTAGCGAGCCGCTCTTTTCACTCCTCGAGACCAACGTCGACGCGATTCTCTCGCTGCAAAAAGACATTGTCCTCGACGTCGTCGCGCAGTCGATCGCCGTCAAGACGACAGTCGTCAACCTCGACGTCTCCGAGCAGGTCTGTCTTGCCACATAGCGTCATGTATCTCAAATGCAAGTCTGGTAGGGCATTCGCGCGATTCTCAACTTTGGCCACAGCATTGGCCATGGCATCGAAGCCATCATGCAACCCGAGCTCCTCCACGGCGAGTGCGTCGCGATCGGGATGGTCAAAGAAGCCGAGATCGCACGGGGCATGGGCCTCTGCTCGTCGGCGACCGTCGGGCGCCTCCTCCGCTGCATCAAGGCGTTCGGCTTGCCCGTGCGCGTGCCGTCGCGGTCGCCGTCCCATGTAGTCTTGACCAACATGGAAGTCGACAAGAAGAACTCGGGCGCGCTCAAGAAACTCGTACTGCTCACGTCAATCGGTGCCGTGCACTCGAATCCGTACACGGTCGCCGTCGACGACGCGCGCATTTTGCTTGTGCTCGAGCCGCAGGTGCGTGGACCTGAGTTCCTTCCGGGTTCTCATGACGCATGTTGCGGCTAGGTGATGGTGCAGCCCAAGGGGCCGCTACAGGGCTCCGTGCACGTGCCTGGCTCCAAGTCGATTTCCAACCGCGTCCTCTTGCTCGCTGCGCTTGGCAAAGGGTACGATACCGGCGTGGGTTCAAACCCCGCTCAACCCTTCGTTCTAGGACGTGTCGCATTTCGGGCTTGCTGCATTCGGACGACACGCAAGTCATGATGGACGTGCTCCAATACCTCGGCTGTGGCTTTGCATGGGAAGACGACGGCAATGTGCTCGTTGTGCATGGCACGGGCGGTGTCTTCCCCAAGACGATGCCAACCCACTGGTACCGACTTGGATCCGCCGTCACGTTTCTCATTTTGAAATGCGTGTGTAGGTACCTCAGCAATGCAGGCACGGCCGCGCGCTTCCTCACGTCCGTCGCAACCTTTTGCGGCGCTGAGATTACGCTGACGGGCAACCACCGCATGCAGGAGCGGCCGATCGCCGACTTGGTCGATGCGCTCAACACAAACGGTTGCCATATTGCCTACGACAAAACGTCGGGGTGCCCGCCGCTGCGCATCACGCCGACGGGGCTGCCCGGTGGCCCCATGCGCATGCAGGGCAAGGTCAGCAGCCAGTACGTCTCGTCCGTGCTGCTCAGTGCGCCGTACGCGTCATCGCCGCTCGACTTGCTCCTCGAAGAAGACGCGCCGACGTCCCTACCGTACATTCTCATGACGACGCAGCTCATGGCCGACTTTGGCATTCGCGTCCAGCAAACCGGTATGTCTCTTCTACGAACAGTGTACAATATGACACTTGGTTAGGCGCCAACCGCTTCTTGGTGCCCCGGGGTGTCTACACCAACCCGGCGACCTACCACGTCGAGGTCGACGCGAGCTCGGCGACGTACCCGCTGGCGCTTGCGGCGATCACGGGCGGACGCGTCACGGTGCCTGGCCTTGGGTCGACGTCGACGCAGGGCGACGCGGCCGTGCACACGGTACACGCCATGATGGCGAGAATAATAACTCTCATGCTTTGACATTAGGTGCTGCAAGCGATGGGCTGTACGACGGGCCAGGACGCGCACTCGACGTGGGTGCAAGGCCCGGCGTGTGGCACCTTGCAGGCGGTCAACGTCGATATGATGACGATGACGGACGCCTTTATGACGGTTGCGGTCGTCGCGGCGGCGGCCAACGGCAAGACGACCATCACCGGCATCGCCAACCAGCGAGTGAAGGAGTGCAACCGGATTGAAGTGATGGTCCAGGAGCTCGCCAAGTGCGGCGTGCTCTGCGGCGAACTGCCCGACGGCATTTGGATCCAGGGCCTTGGCGGCAAGGCTCCGATCTTTCCCCGTACGTTGGATAGTCGATTATGGCGACTCGATAGATTGATACTATTTTGATACTGTGTAGAAACGCTGGCCAAGATTGCGTGCCACAACGACCACCGGATCGCCATGTCGTTTGCAGTCCTCGGGGCGGTCTGGCCCAATATTGTCATCACGGACAAGGAGTGCACAGACAAGACGTTTCCGTCGTTCTGGGACGAGTGTGCGTCGAGCCTCGCCATGTCGCTGACGTCGCCCACCACGTCGGGTCTGCAGTCGACCACAAGCGCGCTGCCCCGCTACGTCTTTCTCATTGGCATGCGTGGTGCCGGCAAGACGTCGCTTGGCAAGGCGGCGGCCGCAACCTTTGGCCTCGACTGGATCGATACGGACGAGTACCTCGAGAAGCATGTGTTTCACTCCACTGTCAAGGAGTACGTGGCCGTTCACGGCTGGGACGCGTTCCGTGCCGCCGAAGTCGCGTGTCTTGAGCAGTGGATGGCGAGTGCGCCGTCCTCGTCCGGTCCGACGACGATCATTTCGTGTGGCGGCGGCCTTGTGGAGTCGTCTGCGGCCGTCGCGATGCTCCAAGCCTACCCGCTCGTGGTGCATGTGGAGCGAGCGATTGCCGACATTGAGGCATACCTGGCGACGGACGCGGCGCGACCGGCGTACGGCGGTACGCTTCCAGTTGGTTGTCTTCATATCTCATGACAACTGGTGGTAGAATCGGTGCTCGCGGTGTGGACCCGCCGGCAGCCGCTGTTTACGGCCGCAAGCCAGTACCACTTTACCGTCTCGGCTGGCGATTTCGACTTTGCGCGCATCAGTGCGGACTTTGGCCGCTTCCTCGCGGTCGTCTTGCGCCGGTTCAATGTCGCGAGCTTGACGCGCATCCCCGACTCGTACTTTTTGAGCCTCACGTCCCCGAACTTGCACGCGGTCACCAAGGCGGACTTGGGTGTACTCGCGACCGGGGTGCACGCGCTCGAGCTTCGCGTCGACCTCCTCGCGTCCACGGAGCATGCGTTTGTCGCCGACCAAGTCGCGCGTCTTCGGGCGCTCTCGCCGCTTCCGATCATCTACACGGTCCGGTCGCTCAACCAAGGCGGCGCGTTTCCTGATGCGCCGGCAGACATCTTTGATCTGCTCCGGCTCGGTCTGCGTCTCGGTTGCGAGGTCGTCGACATGGAGTGCTGCTGGGAGAGTGCGCTGCAGGCGAGTCTCCTCGAGGCCAAGGTACTTCTACTTGGTAATTTGCAGTGTATTGATGCCCGAACGTAGGGTGGGTCGGCGATCCTCGCGTCGTACCACGCAATCCAATCGCGCTCGACCAAGGAAAAGACTGCAGGTATGTTGCGTTTCTCTTGATACATTGATACAAGATTCTCACGGACTGAAACGTAGAGCTCTTTGATCTGTGCGCGTGGCAAGGCCAGGTCGACATTGCCAAGGTTGTCCTCAAGGCGTATGACATTTCCGACGCGTACATGATCCACCAAGTGCTCGCCGAGTGCAAAGCGCGCTGGTCATTTGACATGCCCACGATTGCGGTGTGCACGACGCCGTCCGGATCGCTCAGCCGCGTTCTGAACCGGACGCTGACGCCCGTGACGCACCCCGCTCTGCCCGCCGCCGCCGCGCCCGTACACTCTCAGATGTCAACATATTCGGAGACTTATGCTTGTGGTTAGGGTCAGCTGTCGGTCGCCGAGATTGAGACGCTGCGCCAGACGCTGGGCATGGCGCCAGGTAGCGTCGCATAGGAAGGATAAGCCATCTAATATGTACGTTGTACTCTAGGCTTGCGCTTCTACTTGTTTGGGAACCCGATCGCCCACTCGCCGTCGCCCGCCATGCACAATGCAGCCTTTGCGGCGTTGCAGCTGCCGCACACGTACGACCTGCTCGAGTCGAATGGTACGTCGCCGCTTCGATCCTGGCCATGCCTCATTTTTTATTTATTTATTTTTGTGTAGATATCAGCGTGTACAAGAATGTCCTTGAGAACCCGAGCTTTGGTGGCGCGTCGGTGACGATTCCGCACAAAGTCGACATCATTCCATTTCTGCAGCAGCTGAGTCCGGCGGCGACGGCCATTGGTGCAGTCAACACCGTCGTTGTGAATCGGTACGCCTTGAATTTTCTCTGAATATGCTTAGAAAATGCTAGCGCGACCAAGCGCCTTGAAGGTGACAACACGGACTGGCTCGGCATCTACCGGCCGATCGCGCGTCGCCTCTCGACCACGGATGGCAACGCGCTCGTGATTGGCGCGGGGGGCACCGCGATGGCGGCCTGCTATGCGCTGCAGCAGCTCGGGCTACGTGTGTTTGTCTACAACCGAACGCTGGCCAAGGCGAGCGAGGTCGCGTCACGCTTTCACAGCACCGCCTTGCCGTCGCTCGAGGCGGTGCCGACGGTACGTGGAGAACATTCGACGACTTCCGTGGATTGAGATGCGATCGTAGATGCAAGTGGTCGTCGGTACGATCCCTGCCAGTGCTGGCTTTACGTTGCCCGACGCACTACTGCACAAGGCGCTGATCGTGATGGACGCCGCGTACAAACCCGCGATTACCCCGATGCTGGCGCACGCGAGTCGCTTTGGCTGCGTGTGCATCCAGGGCTACGAGATGCTGGTCGAGCAAGGTCTTGAGCAGTCCAAGCGCTGGACAGGCACGAGTGTTGCCATTGATGTTCTTGCCAACGTCGTCAAGGCGCGCTTCGACTCGGCCGAGATCCTGCCCGGCGGCCTCTAAGGACAAGCTACGTTTTTATTCTGGAATCGCAGATCTCGACGAACTAACATTTTGCGATCTTGACAAGGAGAGTGATGGTCATTTTGCGGAATGTGTGTGATTTGGAAGATCCTGTATCCTAATCCCATGTCCTGGTTCCAACACGCAGCCGGACTTCTACGCACTGAGTAGCTCCTTGGCGATACCTCCTTTAAGACCAAGACAGCACGATTCGTACGTTGGCTGCGCTCTCCTTGTGCGTATACTGGCGCGAAATTACCACAAGTACCCGAAGCGCTGGTCGTCTCTGGCCGGCAGTTCAAATCCTGACAAGCACACCCTGTTTCTCCAGGCATCCACAAGGGTACCTAACACCGTTGGCATCGATCGTGGGACGTGCGCGTAGTACGTTTTGTGCAGTAGTAACGTCGCGAAGGTTTGTATGCGGCGGGTTGAAGTTGAAGTGGCGTTTCGCGGCCAACGTACGTCGCTATCTCCAAGCAGGCGCAACATCCTCAAGCTCTTTCCCGCGAGCATGCACAGAGCCTTTGCCAGGGCGAGGTCGCCCTGTTCTCTGACTTGCGGATATGATCTGGCTCGGGTCTGGCTACTACCAGTACCGTTCCGTGTGCGGTGGACGCCATTTTAACCAATCCGACGACGTTGAACCAGATGGGTGTAGTCTGATTGGCTGAAATACATTAGCGTGGCCCGAGAGGTTGCGGCCTATTTTTGCGAAATCTTCGGCTTCGATGGACCCTTGCGTGGACGCCGCCCAGCCATGGAGCTTCGTGTCGATGAACATGAGCCTCCTGCCCATCGCGCGGCCGCTGCCCGTGCACACGGCAAGCCCGCGAAGGGCCTCGGACAAGCCGCGCACGCCAAGCCATCAGTCGGTCGACAAGGCTGTGAGCATCAGCCCGCGACGCCAGGCCGGCCATGCGTCGCAGAGCCTGCGCGAGCGCGTGCTGCGCCGCGACAAGGTGCGCAAGCGCGAGCGCGACGCTGTCGACGAGGCCATGGACGGCAGCGGCAGCGAAAGCGACGTGCCCGCGCCGCCCGTCGTCCGCGTCAAGCGCATCCTCGAGATCCTCGACGAAGACCGCAGCGTCCCGGACGACGTCATGCACGCCGTGTCGCCGCGCAGCGCCAAGAAGGTGCGGCTCACGTAGCCTCATTAGCTCTAGTCTCCTTATTCTATGCCATCAATACTGGCCTGCGCACAGTTCTACGACTATACATGTCGCCTCTCAATAGCAAGCTGCAGGTACCAGCATCCCAAGCGTCATGTGTCATTGCGCTATTCCTCTACCCTCAAAATCGCCATGAACATCGGCGGTTGCCGAGTGCGTCGCGACATCGCTTTGGCTTCCTTCTCAGACAGTCCAGCGCCGTCGTGTGGCTACCGTCATGGCACCAGCTGCCTTGATGCGCTGCAACCATCCCACTGCGCCAGAGCAGTCCCACACCTCAGTAGCTTGCTGTACAGTACGATTCACTGCGTAGTACTTAGTACGGTAGTCAGACGCAAAGAAATGGCTGTCCCGCCTGCCCCATCGAGTTCACTCCCATCAGCTACGGCGCGACTCGACTACAGTCGACTAGTTGCGACTAACACAAAACCTATTTTCGGACAAAACGCACGTGGCATGGTCGAGCTCACGCGTGCGCAGCAGCTCCTCGCGGCCAAGTCGCTGGCCGTCAAGCGAGAAAAGCAAGCCGCGACGGCCTCCAAGCAGCAGCTCGATGACGCGCGGCGCGTCGAGATCTCGCGGAAGCGGGACTTGGCCGTCGAGCAGAAGCGGTCGCATGGCACCAAGGTGCTGGCGCATTTCGTTGAGCGGAACCTGGCGACCTTTGCAATGCGCGAGCCGCCCAAGGCCAAAGACGCAGCGCCGGGCCGACGCCAGCCCGAACGGTCGCAGTCGAGTCCCGCGCCGGCCACCCTCGACTTGCGGTGGTTTCCATGGCTGTGCAGTATCTCGAGCTCAACGCTACAGTAGGCACGAGCCCGACCCGAAACACCGACCAGCACGCCAGCAGCCGCCCAACGCGTGGGCCAAAGTACGTGCTCGATTTGCTGCACGGAGGATGGCGACGCGTCACTAGATGTATGCGCTCGAGCAAATCGAGGTGCAAGCCGAAGAGCAGCGACGGCGGCAGGCGGCAATGGCGCAGCGGGCCGACATGAAGCGCGCCCTCGACGCGCAGAACAGCAGCAAGCGCCAGCAAGTCGCCGCCGAAAAGTCGGTCGAATTGGCGCATTTTGAGCAGCAGCAGCGCGAGTTGGCCAGCTACCAAGTGCACTCTTTACTGCCGACACGCTGCATGACAAGGTGAACTGCACTAGGTGCTGCAGCAAAAGAAGCTAGTCGAGAAGGAGCAAAAGCAGCTGCAGGACAGTGCCGAGTTCCAGCGCATGGTCGACGAAGCGCGGCAGCGGAAGGCGCGACAGCGCAACGCAGAGATCCAAGCCGAGCTCGACGATGTCGCGCGCACCAAGGTTCCGACATGCTTGCATGCAGCAGCCGACCGACCGACGACTGTAGGCGGCGCTGGAGCAAGACCGGCTTCGGCTCGAGCACCAAAAGCTCCTCAAGGCCAAAGACGTCGAACGCGTCAAGCTCGAAAACCAAAAACTGCTCGACGGTACATAAAAGAATATGCTTCGAAGCGGTGGACCCTACCCCGCCGACTAGAAAAACGCAAGGCGGCGCTTGCCGACCAAGAGCAGGACAGATGCGTCCACCGACAGTACATGGAGCGTCTCGCCGAGCAAGAGCGAAAGCGGCTCGACGCGCTCGAACGCACATACGCGCGCCAAGAGAAGCGGGTCAACATGGCGCTTCTCAACGTCGTCTCGGACGCCGAGAAGGCGCGGCTCGACGAAGACCGAGCCAAGCGGGTACAAGCCGACGTCGACGCGCGCACAGCGGCAATGGAAGCCGCGAAACGCGCGCGCCAAGAGGAGAGCAACAAGCGCCAGCGGGAGGCGCTCGAGAAGCAGCACGCCGACCGCCTCCTGGCCATGAAGAAAGAAAAAGACTCGAGTCTGCAAGCGGATAAGGACTGGATCCAGGATACGCTGGCGGCCGAAGTGCAAGCTCGGGCCAAGCAAGCGGCCAAACATGCGCAAGACAAGGCGTACCGTCAGGTACGAAAAGTCCGAGGGATTGTGTTTTCTATGAACGGACTTGGTGTAGCAACTGGCGCAGCAAATGCTCTCGGAGCAGCGCAAGCGCGAAACCACCGACAAGTGGGCCATGGACGCGACCGAGATGGTGCTGAACGCCGAGCGACTGCGCAAGGCCGGCGTGGCCGTCCCCCACACAACCCACTGAGGACAGCGCCGAGAGGATCTAATTTATCGCGTACATACATTATTGTCTTGTGGCTCATGAATATCTCCGAGACAAAAGAGGAACACTCGCATGTAAATTTACATATTTACAGGAAGCGTCAGAAGAGCCGGGCGTCGAGGCGGGACGGCATCGACGACCGCGACTGCGCGTGGATGCTTTCGGCTTGCGCAATGAGGTCTACGCACGCGTCATGACTGCGTTGTCGGTGCGACGTACTAGTACCTGCAATGTCGGCTTCCCGAACGTGCTGCAGCATGAGAAACTGCGCTTTCCCGTACCGAAGACTGTCAAACATGAGGACGGACGAGACGTCCATGCCAAAGCCCCGTCGCCGGCGTTCGTCGCGGTCCTTCTCCCACGCCGCCCTATTGTCTATCAAAATGACACTTGGTACATTCCTAATTACCGTAGTTTTTCGCGACGGCTCAGAAACTCGTGCCGCTTGGTCGAGAGGAGCGCTTTGAGCAAGCTCACCTTGAGGCTACAGTCACCGTATGCTGAAGTGCAGACGCCAATGGTCTACGCACGGAAGGGGAATGCGTGCCGCGTGTTGCGCAGCCTTTTGCACTTCGTCTTCCGGCGACAAGATCGCATTGAGGTGCTCGAGCATCTTGACGGCGTGGACCACTTTTTTTGTACCGGCACTGGACGGGGGACCTACAAAATTCCATTTTTTAAATGGGGCCACCCCCTCGACCCCTCGTCGTCGCGGCACCGTAGGTACTGTGGCGCCCCGACATGTTGCTTCGGCGGTGGCTGCCGCGATGATCCAAGGGCTCCTACGCAAGATGAAAGAAAGCCGGTCGTCGCTGCTTCTACCGGTGTCTTCTCGCGCGCCTCGGACACCGCTACACCGTAAAAACTCAATCCTCGAAAGATAGAGAATGAGACACCAGCATGGAGTTTCTTCTCGACCTTGGTCCAAAAGAGCAACAAGAGCTTGACGCGGGCGTCGGTGATGACTGCCCAGCTACGCCACATGGACTGGAACTGCCGCACCGATTGCCGGTACTTGAACATGGCCTACACATATGTGTCTTGTTGAAAGATTGATACTCTCATGGTGCGACAAACGCGTCGAAACTTCGCATCTTCGCACTCGCGGAGGCTCGTGATAAGGACGAGGACAGCGCGGCGCTTGCGCTGGTTGCGGTACGTGCCCATGCGGCGGAGGATGAAGCGCTGGATCGTCAAAACGGCCTCGGCCGCTTGCGATAAGGACATGGCTTGCGTCTTGGCCCGCCAAAATGCCTGGATCTTCTTGGAGGCGTGTACCATCTGGGCCATCTTGATCGTCGGCTCGACCAGCTAGTACGTCTACCGCTCTACACCAAACGTCTTTTTGCGTTGCGTACCTTGAAGCGCCGGCGCAGCTTGTCGGCAGCGAGAGCCACCAGGACACTGACCAAGACGCGCTTGGTGCGGGCGTGTCGGAGGTAGTTGGCCTTCTCTTGGCGCCGACGCGCACCCCAACGATCGACGCTGCGCTCCGTGGCTTGCCGCATCGTCTCTTGGTGCTGAAAGTAGCGTTCTACCTGCGCCTTGCGTCGCGACTGCTGTATCTCGTTCCGTTCCTACATCGTCGCATGTGGACATATTGTCTGTTATGTCGACGACAAACATGGCGGGCCTCGGGCGGTACAGGCTGCACGACTAGCTGCTTGTTGATGGCGACGCGGTCGTCGGCGGATGCGTGGATGGCGCGGTGCGCGAGCTTGCGCGCGGCTGCGGCCGCCTCGACCTCGGCGAGGGCCTCTGGCGCCAGCATAAACTGCGCGATCCGAGCCGAGAGCGTCGATGTGCGCGAGGCTTTGATCGTCGTGCGCATGCGGAAGCGACTCGTCTCGGTCTCGTACCGCTTTGGCTCGACCTCGGGTCTACGCCATCGCGTTACCCTGCTGGAGAGTGCAATAGCGTACTCGGTTGGTACAAGTGGCGGTGTCCGACTCGGCCGCGGTGACGGCAGCAAGTGGGGCAAGTACCGGAGCTGCGTCTTTGGCTGGAGCTTGACAGGTCGGCATGGCTGCAGTGGCAGTGCGTAGTGCTGTGGTGGCGATGGAGACGAACGCCGCGGCGTCATTTCTTGGTTGCTTCGCGCCGCCTACCCCAGTACCGTTGACCACCTAGTACTACGAAGCGGTCGTGAGTGTACAAGGTCTCGGTGCCGGAAGACGAGCCAGGCTTCGAGCGGCGACGTGGCGTCCACGGTCGTCGTCGCTTCCCCCGGGGGCCTTGACGCTCATGCCGCCGCGCGGCGTCGACCGAAGCAGCTCGGGAAAGCACGCCTTGTCGACCTCCACCGCGTGCTGCTCATTGATGGCGCGTAGATGGTAGCCATCGCGAATGCTAAACATTGCGTCCTAACAGCAAAGGAGAGATTTTAGGGCGTAGCCAGGCGGCAGGCACCGTACCTCGGTGGGCATGCGTCTCCCGTTTCCTACGAAACGGCGCCCAAAACCCTACCCCTAGTGGCACTCGACTGCACATCAAGAGACCTCAACTAGGCAACCCGAGAGCGCAACTCGATATGGCTGGCCGTGCGTGGACTCGATATGTGAACCACACCAACGATAGAGAAACCAGATGAGGCAAAAAGGAGTTGATCAGGATCCAGCAAGGCGGAGCATTAAGGACGCAACTACATTGCGGCATCGCGAAGACGTCGTCGGCCAGAGACCACAGCGAGCAAGCAGATTGCACCGGACGACAGCCAACACCGCAAGTAAACAATCAACGAAGCTTAGAGCCATATAAGAAAGAATCAACTCGATACTAGTGGAAGAGGAAGCGGAGGTCTTCGACCGTGAGACGCCCAAGCGCCGCCGTGCTGGAGCCCACCGTGCCTTCAAACACCAGCTGCTTCTTCTCCTACAACAGCATCATCATTTGCACCCGAGAAGAGGCCGACGCACCTGCAGCTTCAAGATGCGGTCTTCAATCGTGTTGGCAACGATGAACCGGGTCGCGCGAATGGGCTTGAACTGCCCGAGTCGGTGCGTGCGGTCGATCGCTTGGTGCTCGGCCGCCGGGTTCCACCATGGGTCCATGAGGAAGATGCTAGTCACCATTAGTCGCCGACGCGCCACTCGTAGCACAATTACTGGGACGCGACCGTGAGGTTGAGCGCGACGCCACCGGCCTTGAGACTGATGAGGAAGATTGTGAGCTTCGGGTCGTCCCGGAAGAGCGTCAGCAGCTTCTCGCGCATCGCCATGGGCATGCTGCCCGAGAGCTTCACGCAGCGAATGCCCGCGAGCTCGAGGCGGTGCTCAATGAGGTCGAGCATGTTGACAAACTGCGAAAACACAATGCCCTTGGCCGACGGATCCACTTCTTGCATGCGGTGGATCTCCTCCATGAGCGCTTCAATCTTGGTGCTACACCATCGTTTATATACAAGATACGTGCCAATATATATCGTACCTGCTCTGAAAGTCGCTCAGCAGCGGCAGCTTGGAGAGCAAGCTCGGCTTTCCGCGCGTCTTCTTGAGCGACACGTCCACGCTGCGGGGCGACGCCACGTCGATCATCTCTTCCGGTGGCACCTCGGGCGGCGCGAGGTTGACCGTCAGCGGCTCTTCGCACGTTGGGCAGAGCGCCTTGGCGTCTACAGGCATCGCATAAGAGATCCAGCGAGATGGACGTGGTTATCCTACTCATGAGCAGCGACGCCATGTACTCCTCAACGCACGACTTGCAGAACGTGTGGCTGCAGGCCGCGCGCACCGGGTCCTCGGCCTCTTCGTGGCAAAAGTCGCACACTGGTGCCGCCACCGCGTCGTCATCCACATCGATTGTGAGCGGCAGGTCCTTCTTGACCGGCAGCTCGGGCGTCGGCAGCTGCAGTGCCGGGTTGATCTTGGAGTAAATGACCTACCATTGGTCAATCAGCACGACTCAATACATTGATAGAGGGTTGCATCGTACGAGGTACGGGTGGTCGACTGCTTGGCGCAACCGAATCAAGAGGTCGAAAATGTGCGCATAGTTGTTGAGGAGCGTGCCCGCCGAGACGTACGTGTTGAACTGCGCTTTGCTCTGCGTGTAAATGCTCTACGCAGAACACATATTCAGGTCCCCAGGCTCCAGACTTGGCGCACCTCGTAAAAGTCCTTTTCGCGCTCGTCCATGGCGTCCCGGCGCACGACAATGAGCTTGGGCGGCAAACTAATGTCATCGGCGCGGCTCTGCTTGGTGCGGCGCAGCAACACCTACGCCGCCCCGATCTACCCTCGGTACAAGAGACAGACAATGTCGTACGTGGCGCAAGAGGTCGTTTTGGAGGCGCAGCATGGCCACCTTGCCTTCGGCCACGTAGCCGTACGCTTGGATCGGGTTGAGAATCTTCTTGTTGAACGACGAGTAGTGCTGCATCGCAGAGTGGCTGCACTGGCTGCAGTGCCCGCCCTTCATTCTACACCCATCCCTAAGCCCCACGTGACTAGAGAATCGGGTCCTACTGGAAGTCAATCTGCTCGCACGCGCACTGCGCGCAGTGGTAGTACGCATACGGGTGCACTTGCAGAAACCGAATGAGCGAAAAGAGCTCGCCAATGCGGTTCTGGAGCGGCGTGCCTACTCGCACGTATGGTATCAATGTATCAAGGTATCGAGCACGACGATACCCGTGAGGCACCACTTGAACTTGGACGTGAGCTTGAACACGGACCGCGCCGTGCTGCACCGACGATCCTATCACGCAGTATTTGCATCGAACCGTCGTCGCATCTTCCACACCTTGATGTAGTGGGCCTCGTCGAGGATGATGCGGGCCCATGCAATCTCGTGCAGCGGCGACGTCCCCTTCATGACCTGTTTTTTGGCCGGGGGTTTCTTGACCGGCTTCTTCGGGGCCTTGTCCTCCGACGACGCATCGTCCTCGTCGTCCATGTCTTGAAACGACTTGGCCTTGTCCTTGGCCGCTTTGCCCTAATGCAGCAGATTGAGCGTCCAGGCTACGTAGATGGTTCGATGTACGCGTTGCTGCTTGGCTTGCTTGGACGTCTTGCGTGCGTTCGGGCCGCAAATGTACTTGTTGTGCAAGATGAGCTTCTCGGGCAAAAAGAGCTTGCCGCAGTACGCACACGGGTCCTTGTCGGCGCCCAGAATCTTGCGTCCTACGCATTGAATCAGCACTCGACACAGAAGCGTGTATCTACCTTCGCTCTCGACGATCGAAAAGGTCGTCAAGACCACGTCGTACATGGCGAGGTCGGCCGCGAGCTTGGTGCGCTTCGGCCCGTGGTGAATGATCACGCGCAGCGTGTCCTTGGCCACAAACCGCTCGATCTCCGACCGCCACTAGCCGCCACCTCGTTGATACAAGGTACCACCGAGCTTGCGCATCGTACCTGCATGCAGGCGACGACGGGGCACACGATGAGCGTCCCGCCCGGCAGGAGCCCGTTGGCCTGGAACATCGTGTCATTCTTCTCCAACCGGATTTGCTCCAACATGCACGAAATGGCTTGGACCGTCTTGCCCATGCCCATCTCGTCGGCCAAGATACCGCCGCGGTACGCGCTCGCCTCTTGGTTGACCATCCTGCACCCGGTCAGCACCACGTGTATCATAGACTAGTACCATGCGAGGCCTTCTTGTTGGTACGGCAGCAAGCTCGCGGTGAGCGCAGCCACGGGCAGCTTTCCGGGCAAAATCTCGCGCTTGATAAAGTCTTCTTCGCGCAACGCAATGCGCTCGTCGTCGAGGCCAGCCGCACGGTTGGCAGCCATGACCGCCACCATCTTGGCTTCGTCGTTCTTGGAGAGCGCGGTGAGACCGGCGAGCGGGATCGCGTCGCAGAGCATAGAGCAGGCCACGTGCTAGATCGTATGAGCACGAGTGACGACTATCAAGACAGCTACCTTGTAGTAGCTGTTGATGCCAAAGCGCGAGTGCTCGAGCGTCACTGAGATCACAAGCTCGTCCTTCTCGAGCGCCTTCTCGCACGTCTTGCACTACACCACGCCATGGACTGAGAATAAGGAGGGTGACGAGATGCAACGTACCCGCGCGCGGCCGCTGGTCGCGTAGCACGCCTTGTAGATCGGGTACACGGGGTCGGCGGGGTCGTCCTCGGCGTTTTGGGGACGTGCAGCGTCGTTGGGGTCTTTGGACGGCTCCTTGGCGGCCTTTTTTGGCGCTGGACGACGTCGGTTGCCCGCGGGCTTGGGCGCCGGCGACGCTTTCGCAGGCAACTTGACCTTGATCGGCGAAGAACCTGGTGGCAAGATCGGGTTGTCGTCTTCCGAGTCGACGCTACACGCACAGTGAGTCGACGCGATGCAGTGCAAGCAAGTGCGTACTGGGATGCGACTGAGACCACGTCGCTGCTCTCGTCCGACGACGCGTTGAACTCACTGTCGCTGCTCTCTTTGAGCGTACGCACCTTGCGTGGCCGGGCAACGACGACCTTCTTTTTGCCCTTGCCCTTGGCGGGCAGCTTGGGCGCATCGGCCCACGAGACATCGTCCATGTCCGACGCGTCCGAATCGACGATCGCATTCTTCTTGGTTGCTGCAACACGCGGCTTCTTGGCTGGCGTCGGCTTGATCTCGAGGTCCGAGACCGGCTCGCGCTTTTGTGCGGCCCGGCCACGGCGAGGTGGCGATATCGGCTTGTCGTCTTCGCTCGCGTCGTCGGCAGGCCCCTCCATCTCGACGTCCACAACAGGGGCTGGCTTGCGTGCTGCCCGGCCACGACGCGGTGGTGATATGGGCTTGTCATCCTCGCTCTCATCGTCGGTTGGCGGCTTCATCTCAAGCTGCGAGACTGCAACCGGCTTGCGTGCTGCCCGGCCCCGACGAGGCGGCGATATGGGCTTGTCATCTTCACTGCCATCGCTGGCTGCTGGCGGCTTCATCTCGAGGTGCGAAATCGAAGCGGGCTTGCGTGCTGCCCGGCCACGGCGAGGAGGCGATGGCGGCTTGTCGTCTTCGCTGGCTGCCTCTTCCCCTGCATCTTCCTGGTCGTCGTCGCCATCTTCCTCGGAGCTCGTCGGGACCTCGATGACCTCGGCGGCCTTGGCACGTCGCGTGGGTCGAGCGGGGCGCGGGGCGGTCGTGGCCGCGGGCGCCGGCTCGGTCAGCCGCGCGGATCGGCGTGCGACCATGGGAGTTGGAGTTTGGATCGGTGGGTCTTCTGCAACCTTCACGGTGCTTGTGATTGGCTGAAACACGAGCCATGGATTTCATTCCTCCTAGCAATAAAAATGCACGCCCGTTGCATACAAAATAGCTTGCAACGGGACAAACGTTTTTATACAAACAACACGATTTTATTTAAAATATACACGGCCTTTTAGCCAATCCACGTGCAGCAACCCCACAAAAATGGCGCCGACGGAGCGAGCAGCCGATTCCGCGCCAAACGACCGCGCCAAGGCACTGGGAGGACGTGCTGGCAATTTCTAGTAAAAGGACTAGAGAAATTGCTAATAATTGTACAGGACAGTAATCGCTTGAATAGTTTTGCCAGATACGCGTCCTGGCGTTCTCGAAACTCGACTTGCAAGACTACCGCTGGAGTAGTGGGCTGCTGCTACTACTACTGCAGATATGTCATGGACGAGGTGTCGCTGTAGATTGAACAAGCGTTTAGAACAGCCATCGAGGGCCTTGGCGCAAGCCCCGGAGCTATCCCGAGAGCTATACATACTGCGTCAGCATGGGAGGTCGATTCTCACACTTTGAATGCTCGTATCTTGGGCTGTAATGACCACACGGCAGCGCGGCATGGTGCGCTGGGGTGCCCAGAGTCGTCTCTATTGGTGTGCCAAGTTTGAGCGAGTTCGATTTTGGGTCGCTCGGCCGCGCCAAGGCTCGGCGGGCAATGGCGGCGGCCCCGGTCTCGGCGTATCCGGATTTAAATCCGGATATTGGTCACGCCTTGGATCTTGACTTGGATCGTGGCGCTTGTTGCGCGCTTTTGCAGTGCTGGTATACTAGAGTTGGCATTTAGATTGGAAGTGGATAGTACATTCGGATACCATCCTATCCGGTTAGACGACCTGGATTGTGTTGCGCTTGTCACCACTGACAACAGGAGTGAGGCCTCTCGGACACTGCAACCTCTGTGCATCTCGGCGCTCAGCAGCGCTCAGCAGCGCGGTGGAATGCCCGCCCACCACCTCTGCCTGCCAACGTGCAGTTCTGCGCAGCAACGAACGCCATCAGTCGCGTACGTACCGTAGAGAGTGTCGCCAGGAGGCATTTCGCAGGGCGTCGCCAGCGCAGCAACCTGCGACGCGGCAGACCGAAAGAAGATGCAAACCGATCGCCACTGTCGGCGGTTGCACGTCGTGTTGTACCACTTTTCGCTACTCACGACAGCCACATACGCCGCCTTCTGCAGGAGCACGACGACGAACACAGCAGCTACCACCGCGCCGTGTCGCGCTTGCCAATACACCACTCGGTCGCATGTGTTATAGTTGTTCATGGTCGTTTGTAGTTGTTAATGGTCTTATAAGTTAAAAAATAAGGGCTGGCTACAGCGCGTGGGCCGCGGCGGTCTTGGCTTGCATCGAGAGCACGTGCCCGTGGCAGAGCCGGCACACGCGGTCGGATTTGTTCCAGAGAATGTCCCAGTGCGTCGAGCAGTCGCGGCACACAATCTACACGGAGCCGCGTGAGCCCATAGGAAATGCGAGTGTCCGAGTACCTCGAGGCAGACGGCGCATTTGGCTTTGAGACGAAACCACGCGAGCGGCTTGGTGCACCGCTTGCAGAGCTTCTTGGTCGCATCGGCGGTTGTTGTCGATGGCGTGTCCGTCTCGGTCCAAATCGAAATCCGGCGCGTCGATGGTCGCCCGATGAGCGACCGCTGCAGCTGGCACGTGCGCTTGAGCAGCGTCTTGGCCACGATGTTGGTCATCCACAGCGGCACGTGGCCCATGAGCGCCATGTTGACAAGGACGACTTCTTCCAAGACGCCGGGCGTCGACGTCTCTTTGACGACGATGCCCGAGTGGTGCAGCGTACCGAGGAGTCGCTTGACGGGCGTCAGCTGGATCGAGAGCGGCACCGAGTAGAGGCACCGCGCGTACCCGCGGTGGCCATGATCGTCGACAAAGATGCGCTGGATTTCGAGGTAGGTAAACTCACGGTCGTGACCCCAAGGAACATGGATGAGGCCCCACTGGAGGCGGATGTGGTGGCGGTTGCCGTCGTCCGCGTCCTCAATCGTGCACACGTGCATGGTCGCGTCGAGCCCGTCAAAGATGGTCGGGTGCACGCGGTCAATGTACGCCTGCAGCGACGGCACGTTGCTCAGCGTCGACGTCTGGCGGCAAAACGCTGCGTCGCGCGTCGTCGAGCGCACCTTGGTGTCGCGACTGAGGGCCGCGAGCTTGATAAACTCGGCGCAGACGCGGTGACCCGTCGACGCGTACTCGCGCTTCTCGCCGTCTGTGAGATGCAAAAGCGGCGTCTCGGTCGGCGGCAGTCGGCGCGCATAGGCCGCCGACGAGCTCGGCGACCCGACGGCGGTCGGCGAGGCAGAGGCCAGCATCGTTGGACTCATCGGGAGGACTGCAGTTGTGATATGGAAACGACCGCCCGGAGCGGCGTCGGTGCCAGCTGGTTTTAGCGGCGCCACCAACTGGTCAGCACGCATGGGCCCCTTCTGCGACATGCGTCGGCGGCCAATGCCGAAAATAAGAGATCTCGTGTATGTGTTCAACCTCGATGAGCACCACCACCACATAGCGACGCGCCGTGGCCAGTGGTCTGGCCACTTCCTACCGACCCGTACCGGTAGCCGTCGTTGCTCGACGACTGGCAACTTTGGCAACGAGTAGCTAGTCCTTGGATCTGGAAGCAATCGCCGGTAGCTATCGCCGATGGGTGACGACGAGATATCTTTTCATCGCGACCAGACGCGGAGGATGATGCAATGCACCGCGTGGCACCAAGCTATGCCTCCTATCTTGCACGGAGGCGAGTCCGTCCGTCGTCGCAAGCGCATACACCTACGATGCTTGCCATCGGCCCTGCTCTGCACGTGTCTGGTCGCGTGGTCGCGTTACACGACAGCAACGACGTGTCAAGTGTCACTTCGCGCCATCACCTCGCGCCACCGTCGACTTCAACGCGAACCCTCTGGCGACCCCGCGTGGCGCAGGCTTCTTCTTGCCGCGTGCCAAGGTCCGAATAAGATCGTAGATAGTTGGTGCAATGTGAGCGGACGCATGCAATGCCGTCGCACGCCAGAAGGTTCTGCGGCGGGGCTTCGTCTTTGCTGTATGCGGTGCTTCCTTGTGAAGGCTGTAACTGGGTGCCACGCGACGATTGGTTGGTTTTCAGCCAATGGCATCGCGGCGATGGTGACCCATATCTTTGCGTTTGTGGCGAGCGAACCGTTGTCACCGAAGAATGATGGACGGGCCCGTGCAGCTGGACTTGTCGGAAGAGGGGTACGCGACCGTGCCAGAGTCGATTCCCATCGACGTCTACTCGATCTCGCTCGCGTCCAACCGCATCCATGCGCTCCACGGCCTCGGGCGCCTCGTGCATCTCCGGCAGGTACCACTCGGCGACGCTTCTTCAAATGTATGGCTGTGCCGCAGGTCGATCTCTCGTGCAACAAGCTCACGCATCTGGCGGGCATCGAGTCGCTTCAGCTCCTCTCGACACTCAACCTAGCGCGCAACAACCTCTCGTCGCTCGCCGGGCTCGACCAGATGAATTCGCTGCAATACATCAACGTGTCGGACAACAATTTGACCGATCTCGATGGCCTCATGAGTCATACGGGCCTTGTATATGTGAATGCGTCGATCAACCACCTTGCTTCCTGGCCCAATCTGTGCCACCTCGGGTCCCTCGAGGTTCGGGTCGCCATCATGATAGCATCCGCGCATGTTGGTGGTAGACGCTCAACCTCAACGACAACCAGCTCAGTGTGACGCGGACGCTGCCCACGAGTCTTCCGACGAGCTTGCGTCAGCTCAAGCTCGCGTACAACCAAATCGACCACGTACGAAATGCTACTCTTCGGCTTGGACCTGCGAGACGATACGGTAGCTCGGGTGCTTTGATGCGTGCGCTGGCAAGTACCACCACTTGCACTCGCTGGACCTTGCTGGCAACCGCTGCGTGCTGCACAACCCAAGTGCTGCTGCCTTTTTGGCCGACATCTTCCCTGCATTGCGGCTTCTCGACGGCCTGCCGCGCGCGACCGACCCGACGCCGACGACCGAGGAAGCCGATGTGTCGGACCGTAACGTCAAGCTGCAGCTGTGGAAGCAAATGCTGCAGGACCGTCGTGACCAAGACGACCGCGACCGCATGCGGCTCCGCGCCGACATCAGCCACAACGAGTCGCCCGTTCCAGTGCCGACACCCCGGCCCCTCGCACCAGCCGACCCGACACCACGGCCCATCCTATTTGCCGAGCCGAGTCCACCGTCCGAGGTGACGCGCGCCGCGTCACTACCAAAGTACTTGTACGAGAACGAAGCGCTTGGTGACGAGCCGCCGCTCGTGCAAACCAGCGTCTTTCTGACGCCATGCGATGACGAACCGCTGTCAAAGCAAGTGCAGACGCTCCATGACCACGTGCGCATGCTCCGCAAGTACGCCAAAGTACGCGACGACAATCCTAACATGGTCAGCGTGTCTAACGTGCGTAGGTCTGGATCAAGCGCGAACAGCGGCTCCGAGACAAGAGCGCTGTGTGCATTCAAGTACACATCTTTGGCATCCACCACGTCTGACTACGTCGTTCTAGAAGTATTATCGCGGCTACCGCAGTCGGCGACAGCATCCGCGACGCTGCCAGACACGCCGCGACCCTTCTTGTCGCGTCGGTGTGACTGTGCAGCCCGTCTCGTCTTTTGACATTGTGTGGCGGCGCATCGCTCCCGAGAAGCGCATCTTCCATGCTTACGCCCAAGTCGTTCAAGTACAAACCCTAATCCTCAGAGCTCTTTGTGTACTGTGTGCACTCTAGCGCATGCTACGAGGCTGGATCATACGGCGCCGCTTTGGCCTCCGACGGGTGCAGCACCGGGCCGCGATTTCACTCCAAGTAGACATATCGATCGAAGGACTAGATTTCCCATGGGTTTGTAGAAATGCTGGCGCGGGTTTCGGGCCCGCACGATTGGCATGTGGTACGCGGTTCGATACCGAGCGCACTTGCCAACTGTGGCGCATTAGGCAGCACGTGGGCCGGCGCGGGGTGTTGCGCACCTTGTTTGCTACGACGCGACACGTGACCGCGCTGCAGCGACAGCTCTACATCCAAGACGAGGCCATGGCAACACTATGGCGTACGGTGCACGTGACACAGCACCAGCTCGAGGGTCTGCGTCATCGGGCAGCACACAAGGGCATTCGCCTGTTCCAGGTACATGTAGCTGCTCCTCAACGCTCACGCTGAAATGTCGTGTATAGGCGCGGTGGCGGGGCTACGCTGTACGCCGCGCAACGCAGCTGCCTCGGCCGCACGTAAACGGCGCCGTTCGATGCACGGGCTGCGCTTCCAATACCGTCGAGATCGAGCACCTTCGCGATCAAGTCGACCGACTTCAGCGCCTCGTGCAGCAGCTCCTCGCGCAAGAGGCGCGGCCAGAGCGGAGCGAGGATGGGGACGGCGCACACCCGATTGCAGGATACGACAATGCCTTAGCGCTGTCGTGCTGGGGAGAGTTGCTCTCGCTGCGTCGGTCATAAGAGCATCAAGTTCTTGTATGGCGTAGTGGGAGCAAGTATAGACAATCTTCGAACGTTATCGAGTTATATCTTTTTGTACTACCAGTTTTGAAATCGACGAATGGGCGGCAACACGATCTCGGTTGTGCTGCACGGCAACCACGGCACCTGCCGCACCAACACCAAGATGTCGTGTGTGGCGTTTGGTGGCCAAGTGACCAACTACATTGGCGCGCAAACCTGCGTCAAGGCCGTGCCAACCTGCGACGCGGTGTGCTGCCGCGACTTGTACAGCGGATCGTGGACACGAACGCGGTAGCTGCATCGTCCGCAATAGGTCAAGAAGCGTAATATCACCTGTATCAAGCTCACGTATCCTATCCTGTCTCTTCTGGCTTCGTGCCATGGCTGCCGATGGGTCAAGCGACACGACGCCGTTTCAAGCTGCAAGATCGCTGCATGCTCCGCGTGCCACGTCACGAGCCGCGTGATTGGCCAACCAGTCGCTGTCCGGATACACCGAATCTTAGTTTTGGATTTCAACCGAACATGCAACCTGCACTGATCCTGGGGCTGGCCGCGGCCGCGATGGCCGCCGATGGCCCGCTCGTGTGGCAGCACGACGAGCGGCTCTTCCAGCACGAGGCGACGCAGTTCGACTACTACGTCTTTGCGCACTCGTGGCAGGCCTCGTTCTGCTACAAGGAGCCGTACCCTGGTCTGGTGTCCCTCTTGCAGCCAAAAAGCTGATGCTGTGGGTAGGCTGCAAGGCGCCCAACCCGTACTGGAAGACGCACTTTACCGTGCATGGCCTCTGGCCCGAGCTCAACGAAGGGCCGCACCCGGGCTACTGCTCCAAGGAGCCGCTCGACATGCAGCGTGTGCGCAAGGCGATAGGCCAAGATACGCTCGAGAAGTTTTGGCCCAACGTCAAGGTCGCCATCAACACGACCGGCTACGACTCGTACTTGTCTGCTTCTGTATGTACGGTCCTTCCATAGCGTGTTAGGTTTTGGAACCACGAATGGACGCGCCATGGCACGTGCAGTGGGCTCGACCAAGTGACGTTCTTCCAGAGCGCGATCGAGCGCATGAAGACGCAGGGCACGCCCGACTTTATCTCACAGAGCGTCGGGAAGGTCGTCGCGACGAGCGCGATTCGCGACGCGTACGGCGGCCCGAAGAAGGTCGTGCTCCAGTGCAAGAACCAACGGCTCTCGCAGGTGTACACGTGCTTGGGCAAAGACAAGGACAACAAGCCGACGGACGCCACCGAGTGCTCGAGCCAAGTGCTCAAGGAGGACAACTGCCGCGTCGGCGAGATCCTCATTCCAGCCTTTTAGGCCCTGTACATATCGACAGACCTCTTAAAGATGACCTCGGTCTTGGAAGATGACGATCGTTTGTCCCACCATTGCCTCGTCACCCGAACATCTCGAACCCCTTGCGTTTGCCGTATTTGCGCATCGTGGCCGGTAGCCGCGCCCAGCCGCGCCCACGGCCAAGGCTTCCTTAGGTAGAGGTGTCAGCGCTTGTGTCCAGCCGAGAGACCAGGTCGGCGGGCAAGATCGAGGTTCGCCCGAGATGCGAGGTCCCCAGCGGGATTCCTCGCAGACCAAAGGTTGTCCAAGGCTGCAGTCAGTCAGCTACGCTCTCGGCGAAGTCGACCAAGTACTGTAGAGTGGCCGTGGCAACTCGACATCGTGTCGTTTCTATTGCCAGGATTGTGATCAAATTCGCACATTCCAGTACATGCCTGGTCGTCGTCTTGCGACGTGCGTGCCCTTGTGCCATCCAGTCGTCCTCTCCTAACTCAACCGCAAGTATCAACGCGTTTATAGCCCTCCTACGTTTCTAGCCCTCTTACCCTCCTAGACCCGCCTTCTGTTGTCATGGATAGTATTATGAAGTTGGTTGATAATCGCTAGTCTCGACATTTTGTATCGTGACGAGCTGCCAACGAAACGACGAGGCTAGTTTGACACACCACAGTATACCAGTAGCAATGTCCTTATGATAGCACTGTAGGAAGCTCTACGAGCCCTTGGCGACACAAGCACGCGCGCGAAAGCGAGGATGTGCACGCAAGAAAATCCGCAATAAGAATATCAGATGGTACTGATTAGGGCAATTGGTTCGGATACGGGCATCCGGAGACCGAGCACCTGCTGAGATGGCCTTTCCAGATTGCGATTTGCAGAGCCACAAACACACCGCTGGCAGCATGATCTACTACGACACACGGGACATCGTCTCGATCCTCACGACGTGGACGGGGTCGCCCTTCGTGGGCACGGCGCCGGTGCAGGCCTTCTCGATGGCCTGCTTTGCGCTCGTCGTGGCGACCTTCCAGCACTTTTACCCGACGGCGTTTGACGGGCTCAACACGTCGGTCGCGCTCAAGGATCTGCACATCATCGCCAACACGTTCATTGGCCTCTTGATCTCGTTCCGCCTCAACTCTGCGTTCCAGCAGTGGAAGTCGGGTCTTGGCGACATTACGCTCTTCACGCAGACCGCGCGGTCGCTCGTCTCGACGTTCGCGTCCTTCTTGGCGAAATCGGACGACAGCGCCGAGCTCCTCGAGAAGAAGGAGCTGCTCTCGGACTTTCGCCGGCTCACGCTCATCTACACGTCGCTCGTCTTCCATGACTGCCGCGAACACGACGCGCTGCCCGAGCTCCAATCCGCCGGCTGGCTCTCGCCGAACGAGCTCAACGAACTCAACGCATGCGGTGCGATCTATACGTCGCGCCAGTCCAAGCGCTTCTCGAGCGCGTCGGCCGCTACCAACCGCGCGCGGTCGGCGGTCATTGAGCTCTGGATCCGCCGCGTCGTGCAGTCGGCCGCGTCCCGCAACTATCTGAACCCGCCACAGATGACGACCATGAACAACATGGTCACGCAGCTGCCAATGATCCACGGCCGCGTCTTCAACACGTCTAACATCCCGATTCCGTTCAACTACTGCCAGTACCTCAACTTTTGCATCTACATGTACCTCGTGCTCTACACGGTCGTGATCGTCGACACGTCCTTGTTCTACACGCCCGGGTGGGTCTTCCTCTGGGGCATGGTGCTCTTGGTCGCCGACACTGTCGCCAACGAGATCGAGTGCCCGTTCGGTACGGATGCCAACGACATTGACCTCGAAGAGCGCATGAAGCAGCTCGAAGACGAGCTCACGACGCTCGTCCGCAGCCAACTGCACTGCTGGGGCCTCTTCACGGCCGACGACGTCTCGATGCTCACGCCCGCGTCCAAGACGACGCCAACGACGCCCGACGTCGAGACGTGCTCGCTCTACAGCAGCAAGCCGCGGAAGCTCAAGGTCAACCGCCAAGTGCCACAGCCGCCGCCGCCGTCGCAGGCCAGCGAAACCTCGGCGCTCCTCCCGCCGCAGACGCTCCCGACGCAAACGTCGACAGGCTCCAACGAAAGCTATGGCATCGCCGTCTAAACAGACTGTTTATCAATACGAGGTTGACGCCTGCTTCGTGAGAATACGTTGGGCTCGGGCGCCGGTAGCGTCTCGAGGATCCGTGGCCTGTTGACACGGCCTCTATTGCGCGATACGACTCTTGTGTGTTGCGGCCAGGAAACGCGGCGGACGTCCCTTGACCGATGGAAGGGCAAAGCACCTCATCAAGAAGGAGCCATCGATGAAGTATTCGTTGCTACTACGTACGTTAGTTGATACAGGCACATATAGGCGTGTAGTCGGTCTCATCACACAACAAGTACGCCGGCGTAAGCATGTCGTTGGGTGACGTCATGTTGAAGAGACTCGGCACTGGCGGCAAGTGCGCATTCGCACAAAAGTGCTCGAGGGTCGTCGACGAGGTCACCGTCACGGTGAGCAACGTGGCTGGCAGCGTCGAGAGGTTGCGCTTGACTTCGCCCGTCACGTTCGGGTGTTTCCGATGCCGGGGAACACGATCGTTTGGACAAGAGGAAACGCGCTGCACACGCGGTGGCCTTGGCTCGCACAGTACGCTTTGGCAAAGACGGTCGCGCCTCCGACCGGGTACTTGTTCTCAGAGGGCATCGGGTTCCACGGCTCCGCAGACGCCAAGAGAGACGTATTCCCGGCGCTCTCTATCCGGTACTCGTACGTTGTGAGCGCCGGCGTTCACCGCCGTCGATAGCAGCACGCTGACGCAGACAACGTCGAGGACCAAGAGCAAGATGCACACATTGGGCGACGGGACGTTCCGCGTCCAGACGAGGTGCGCGAGGCCGGCAGCACTCGCGAGGAGGAGCACGATGCTCAGCGTGCGAGCATTTGGTCGCTTGAGGAGCTCGCCGTACATGGACGCCTCGAGTGCGATGACGCATGCAGCATAGACTGCATGGGCAACAAACAGGACACCGACCGCGACGGTGGTGCGCGTGGGCTTTGGCATCTTGAGCAATGACACTTGTACACACCCTAATAGTGTCATGGGACACGCGCTTCAGTCCACACCGTGTCCACCGGCGAGATGTCCATTGGTCAATTCTCCTCTCAACGGCTCGACACCAGAGATTTCGCAGCTCATCCAGCCGTCGCAGTTGGACATTCTTGTGCTACGCAATAGGACAATATGTGTCCTTCCGCGCTGGCAACTGTGGTCGCTCCCGGTATCGGTAGAACCGTCTCGAGCTTTGAACCCGAGGTCGTCAAGCTTTTCCTGGTTGGAGCTTGAAAATATCCTGCCTTTGTCGGTGCAACAGGCGACACAAACTCAATATAGGAGCCGCACGTGTGCAATACACGACAGAGGCAAGCAACTGGAGCTGCTGCTCGAACGATGTCAAGCTGTTAAGGCCTTCTGGCTAACGACAACCGTGTTGCTCGCCGCTTCTGTTGTACCGGTAAAGTACTCAGCAGCACTGATGTCCTTGGAGCCACGCGGCCTCTAGAGCTTGCAGTTTCGCTCACTGCCTTGCGCGCGCATCACCGTCGACCATGGAAATCGTGGTCGCATGTCATTAGTATTCACATGTTAGTCGCGAACGTCCTTGTGGGCCGAGACGACGCAGCCAGGCACCTTCAAAAACTCGTCAAAGTCGTACTTGACGTCCTTGGGGCAGCAGCTCCAGTACTTGCCGCTGTCATGGAAGACAGGCGCGCCAGCATGGTGGGCGCACGACTTGTCGTCGTTGATATCAACAAAGTATTCGACTTGGCAGCCATAGTTGACGCATTTCGCCTTGCCGTCCGTGCGCTTGGGGGCCACGGGCCTAGTCAACATGAGCTCCCGCACAGTAAGTGCTTCTGTACGTACTTGGCCGTGATCGACGAGATCGACGTGACTGCAGTCGGGTTGGACTTGTTGTAGTCGTCGATCGACTTGACGGGCGCGGCCGGCGCGGCAACGACCGGCACGGGTGCGGGCGCCGGCGTCTCGGCAACGACGGGCGCTTGGTTGCCAATGGCGCTGTGGAAGCCAACCGCGCACGGCTCAATCTTCTCGAAATCGTCCCAGTCGTACACCATCTTGGACGAGCAGCAGGACCAGCCCTTCTTCGTGTCGTGGAAGGTCGGCGGCGCCTTGTGGTGGCGACACGCGAGGCCATGGTTCTCGCTGTCGACAAACTTTTCCCGGCAGCCAAAGTTCTTGCACTGGACGAGCTCCTTGGGCACTTCCTTCTCACGCTCCTCTGCCAGTGGTTATGAGCCATCGCCGCCTTGATGCAAAAAGGACGTACCGTCGGCCGCATCCTTCTTGTGCTTGAACGTCGACGGTCCTAGTTGCTGCGTAAGCCACCGCCACGGCGCCAGCGTTTACCGAGCTTGACGTAGACGTCGTCGCGGCTCTTGATCGTGTCGTGGATGGTTTCGTCGCCGCGCAGCACGCGGCCTTCGCTGCGCTCAAGGTGGTACTCGGTCGCGTCGACCTTGTTGTTGGGCCGCTTCTCGTTGTACGTTTCGAGGAAAAACTAGCGCTGGACGTGAGCCATACCGAGGACGTCGCCGCGTCCGCACCTCCTTCAAGCGGTCGACGGTCGCGCCCGCCCACTTGGACGGGATCGTGAGCTTGAGCGTCAGGTGGTGGGCCTCGTCGCCTTCCTCAAAGTGCAAGTAGATCTTCTTGAGGCGCGCGCCCTCGGGCTGGACCGGAATCGACTCGGCGCCGCCCATCGTTGCTGGTTCAAATCGAAAATAAGACGTGGCTTATCGCTTCGAGAAAACGAGCCAATCAGACGCCGCCAAATATTCTCTTGGGTTTTGTAGCGCAATCCTTCGACCCGGAATGGCTATACGCACGCCCCTTTAGCTCCCGCTCGCCGTCGACGACACGCGACTCGCACGCCTTGGCGAACCTCGTTGGTATCAAATGGTATGTACAAGGAGCCTTTGACGGGCGCTCGGAGCGGGCCAAGTCGGAAGCAGGCAGTATTGGTGGACTCCTTTGCTGCGCATGGGGCGTGGACCGTCATGCGAACATTCGCGCTTATCGGGGTGCTTGGGTCCAGCGGTGTCGGCGTAGGACTCTCCTATCACAGAGCGAATGCGATTGCGTTGAAGCAGGTCGTTGCTGTTGGTGTCGCCATTGTAACGTGGCAAGGCGGCAGGAAAGCGCCGGTGCGTAACGCTGACGCCGCCACGTCACGGCCCAAAAACATTGCCTGGCTTTTGCACTCATCAAGGTGCTTGTGCTGTGGAGGCGAGTAGAAGGACAAGGGAAGTATATATGTGGGATGTTGGCGAGTTCAAAGACGCACAAGGTCCATTATCTGACGAGGAGCACAAGCTTTGGGTCTATTGCTGGCTCATAAATAGGCTATTGCTCCTCAATGGGCGACGACGTCGAGGTGGGCGTCACTGGCAGCTCCGGCTTTTTGGTCGCGTCGCCGACGTGGACCACGGCGCGGAGCCGGGCGAGCTCGCGCGTTAAATATTGCAGCTTTTGCTGCTGCTGGTAGCGCGAGTCGGCGGCCGACTCGCGGTTCGTGCGCTTCCGGTACTCCTCTTTCGACTCGCCGTCGCGGATTGCGCTCTTGGACTTCTTCATGGGCACCCAGTCTTTCGACTGCAGGCCCGGGTGCTCCTTCTGCAGCAGCTGGATCTCGTGCTCGATAAAATGCACGCGCTTGTCGCGGTTCTCGCGGTACGACGCAGCCGAGATGCGGTTCTTGGTCTTGTTGCGGTCAATGCACACAGCGGCGGCCTCTGACGCCGCGTGGCGGGGCACAATGTTGCGCTTGGCGTTGCGCCGCTCAATGGCGACCTGCCGCCGCCGCGCCGCCTCGGCCTTGTGCGAGAGCAAAAACGGCGCGAGGTACCCGCCGGCCTCGGCGGCCTTCTTCGGGTCGATGGCAAACATGGCGCCCGTCGGCGGCAACAAGAACGGATGGAACGGTGCGGCTTGGATGTGCGTGTATTCGCGGGTGTCAAAGTGCTTGACGAGGTTGCTCGTGTCGGCGTAGATAGTAGCGGCGGCGGGTGGCGCGGGCGCCGGCTCGGCCTGGGCGGCGCACTGCTGGTGTCGCTCGAGCTTGGTCACGCGGTCCGTCTGCTGCTCAAACTGGATCGCGACGTCCAAGAGGTACTCGAGGCTCATGCTGCTTCCTCCTGCTCTGACGTCCAGCAAATGCTAAAAAAAATGCACTGCAAATCCGCGGCCACACTGGTGCCTTTTATTCAATGTCGTGCCTTTCCATACAAAGACCAAGTGAGAATAAATTATTCCGATTAAATTGGACGCGTGGGGCCAAATTATTATGGGACCAATCAGAACGCGCGGTTCGAGGCGAAAATCGAATGAAGGCCAGCCACGTTCGTGGGACTTCCGGATATGAACCCACTGGAATCCGGATGATTTTTAATTCCTGTCGGCTGTGACACGTTTTGACTTGGCTTGAGTATGTGAAGCGACGGTTTCAACCATTATATTGAAGTGAGAAGCGTGGGGGCCAATCACAGCGCGCCAATTTGGGATTGGCCAGAACGAGCTGCCACCAAGATGAGCTGGCAGCCCCTCGTGCTACGAAGATTTCGGCCACGACCTCGAGCACGCCTTCAACTGGACACGCAGTCTAGTGAATTACTATACTTAAACGGTACATTCGGTATTCAATCGTGAGTATTTATTCCCAATACACGATGAGATCAAGGACTCGTTGTTGTCTATGCTAAAAAGCACAGACCAACTTAGAGACTAGCAACGGGCGCCTCCAGTGACGCCAACACTGGCGGTGCACTGCCTGTATTTGTTTTTCTATGGACTGTAACTAGCTGCGATTGCTGCATTGCACAGGTTTGGCGCTGATCGAGTCCTGCTCTCTCGATCCTCGACAGCAATGCGGCTCACAGTCGCTGCTTGTGTCCTCGCATGTGGTCAACCTGGCATGAAAAGTATCCTACCGCGAACTAACTTTAACAATTATGATGGATGGATGGTAGGGAAATGAATGGCAGTTTAGTATTGGTATTGCGTCCCGCTTTGCTCCTGTGTAGAGTAGAAGCAGGAGTATACTGTACTCGCTCGGGACGATTTAGTTGGCGAAGGCTCCTTTCTCCACGTGGCGAAGTCGTCGCTCGGCTGATAGAGCGTCGATGAGGCGAAATTCCACTGCGACTTTGACGATGAAGAGCAAGACGAGTGCGATCCCAGACAAGGCAAGCGCCCGTGACAGCCAGCACTCGCGATCGGGCAGCTCGTCCTCAGGATCCTAGCCGACAAGGACACTGTGAGGAAGAGTGAGGGCGGTATTGGTGGCTACGCTGTCGAGAAAAGTCACGTGGCGGTCGCGCTTCAAAGCTCGCATCGACGCTGCAAACGATTTTCGAAGAATACCTTTTACACACACGTCCTACAAAGCGTTTATAAATCATCACTATTGTTCTGCGCTTCTATCTAACAGCTCGGATGCGCCTGCGCTACGAGCAGCCAACGGCCGCTGTGACGCCGTGGCATTGGGCAATGAGCTCGACAGCGCAACGCCGGCGGCGGCGGCGCAGGGCTGTGCTGGGACTTGGATGGACCGCTGTCATCGGGAGGACGAGGCACGCCTTGCGCTGCGTGGATTGGACGTGGAAGAGGAACCACACGTAGGCGGCAGCGAGGCCGACGCTCACGAGAAGGGCCAGCTCGCAGCCGACGAATGTGAAGACTGCCATCTAGCCAATGCGTCGATGACGTCTCTGGCAACAGCGCGAAATGGCATGGGTCAAGATTCCTACGAACTTCGGTACCGACGCATGAACCAATCAAAGAGACAGGTTTTCGAAGTATGGCTTCGAGTGCCAGGTTGCACTTGACCATTACGCTGGCACCAGGTGTTGCTGCCTCCATCGCAACGTTGCGTGGTATGCAACGATGCAGTGAATCTCCAGCGATGAATCTGCCGTCGTAGACGTGGAAGCCCATGACGTCGTAGAGGTTCGTTGACTTGATGGCCTTTGGTGCAGCAGATCTCCTTGTCGTGTCACAGTTCATCACGACTAGACTTCGACTACCAACTCGACACAAACCAAATTTTTCAGACAATTCGACATAACCTTCCATTCCCCGCTGCATCGCAAAGTCCTCGCGCCAAGGGCTGGCTCGAGGTTGCCTATTGCACTTCCACGTATTAATACTACGAGATGACGAACGGTTATTTGGTCAACGGCACGAGACATCCAAGGCGGGGTTCCAACTTTCCCATTCTTGTTGCCGATCTATTCAAGCAATAGAGTCGCCCGCGTGACGTGGCAAATTGTCCGTGATCTGTGAAACAAGGTTGCGGTTCATAAAAAGGTCATTTCGAAACCACTTCGCGCCACTTTGCTATACTTAGCCTCATCCATGGACGACGCGCCACCGCCGCCAGCTACGCCCAGTCCGCGCGGCGTCGACCTTTCGCTAAGGACGACGTCGTCCGCGACATCTCAAACGGCCCCCGTGCACGCCGACCCACGTGAGCACCCGCCGACGCCGATCGTCGCGGACGAAGCCTCTCATGCGACACGCAAACGTACTCTAGACAGCACGTGCAACAACGCACCGAGTCGTGCACTTGGTGGGGTGCCACCGCTCGCCAACGACACCTCGTCACGGGCGCTACTGCCTCGAAATCCCGCACTCCGAGCCAAGAGCCTCGTGCTTCTGACGTCTGACGTGCAAGCGCGGCGGAAGCGATCGCTGGCTTTTCCACGCAAGGCCCCCACTCGGATGGTGCAGGCTGCGCGGAGCTCGGCGCTCAGCGTCGGTTCGTCCGAGGCCGACGATGTATCCCGAAAGGTCGCCGCGTCCAGCAACCGGTCGTATCCGCCGCAGCGCCGCCCTCATCGTCATGACGAGACGCTCGCCAAGCAAGAGGTGTTGTTGGATGTGGAAATGCGTCGTTTGACGCGAGGTGTAGTTGCCGTTGGGCGAAGACCACTGGACCGACTACCTCTTTGCTCGGTTTGGGTCGCGTCCGGACGTCCAATCCGAGTTTCAAAAAAGTACTATGCGGCAATGGCACCTTGTCCATTATAGATGTGGTGTAGACCAGACAAAGCTCTTGGAGATGATTCGCACCTTGGACGCGCTTGCCAAGACGCGCCCAAACGACGACGAGGTCGCCGCACAGCGTAGCGCGTGCAAAGCCATGGCGGCCTGGTTCCGCGTCGGGGACCACGTTCTTTTGATGGACATCCACGGCAAGCCCGCTCTGCTCAAAGGCGATAGCCGCAAAATCACAGCGCCACTCATCTCGAGTGTGCGGAAGCGCCACTCGCTGCCCGACGCGACGCCAGTCGCCGACCCGATCACGGCCACGATCCGCCGCGACTTGCACAACGGCACGTACGACATTCGCCTGCACAAGACCGCCTCGACCATCCAGCGAGGTTGTATGTCGTGCTTCACCACACTTCTAACGCGCTATTAGAGGTCGCACACCATTTACTACGGCCCAAAGTCCGGCGCAAACCGGGTATCGAAGCGATTCGACCTTCGTCGACACGGAACTTTCTCTTGCTCGATGGTATGGTGCGCCTCGACCTCGGAGCCCGCGTCATGGTTTGTGTGCATCCACGTTGTGTTGGAAAGCTCGTCTTATGCGACCCTGCAGGTGACGTACCGGGACCCGCTGGAGCGGCGGTACGGGTACTTTCTGGGCCTCAACACTAATGGCACCGCCATCGTGCAATATGACGAGAAGGACGTCGATGCCAAGGTCGATATCAAAGATCTGAGTGCCGCCGCCGACCAAGACGTGACCGACGAGCTCCTCGCGATGGTCCAAGAAATGCAGTTGACGGTCGACGACCGCGTCATTCTCACAGGCTTCCGCGTCCTCGCCAAGCACCCGATGTTGAAGAGCGCCCAGCCGTGCACCGTGACCCGCGACAACGGCAACAGCACGTTCGACTTGCAGTTTCTCGACGGCATTTGCGTCTACAGTGTTTGTGCAAACGACACGTCGACGCGCAAATGACATAGTGTGTAGATCAGCCGCGACGTGATTCAGATCGAACCGAGTGTGCACGAAATGCAGCTCAAGCAGCTGGAGGCGCAGCGCAGCGCCGCAGCCGGCGCGTTCGTCGTCGGGCAGCTTATCGCGGCGTACAGTCCGCGCTACCTGCGCTACTGCTCGGGGCGCGTTCAAAGCGTGGTTGACGGGCTTTACGCGGTCGTGTTTGACTATGGCGAGTGCGTCACGCAGATCCCAGCGACCGAAGTCACGAGTCTCCCGGACGCCACGTTGCAGCGCTGCGGCAACCTCATTGTGTACTCGAAATCGATTCTGGGGTTAGTAAAAGGTCTCTGAGACGTGGCTCGATAAAGGCACCCTGTAGACCCGAAGAAGCCGACGATGCGCGGCTGCCCATGGGCCATCGTGTCATGGCGCGGCTGTGTGGCAGTCCCAAGTACTTTGCGGGCGTCGTCGAAGAAGCCGAATCCAAGACGTACCGCATACGATTCGAGTCCAGCATCTTGGATCCATCCGTGCCACGCAGTCACGTCTATAGCGTCGAGAGCAGCGCGGTTGTCTTTGTCAAGCCGACACCAAAGTCCAGCGATGCGACGGCCACCATCCACACGTCGCGTCAAAAACGAAAGCGCAGCTCGCTGGCGCAACGCGTGCTCAACTTTTTCACGGGCAGCACCGTCGAGTGAGGTCGCATGCGTCCCTTTCTTGGAGGCGGCGTCGCCAGTTCAAATCTGGCAAAAACAGAGCGACAAGTTGGAGACACGTGGCTTTGCTCGGCACTGATGTACAATCAAGGCCATAAGTCCAATAATGTATGCAAGCTCGGGCTCGTTTTCATTGACATGGCGAGAAGACGACCCCCTTGCCTCTCTCGGACTGAGCTCTCGGACTGTGGAACAGCCCTTGTGTCTCGGCAACGCCCAAGCGCGTCTCCGGCGAACGTGCTCGGATATGGGTCTATTGATAGCGCAAGTTAAGATCGCCAGGATCACTGCTTGTCGCCAACCTCACTTTTCAATTCGATGCTTCGAGCGCTTTTGGTGGCTTGCGGCGCGGCGCTCGCAGTGGGTGCGACCAATGCTAGTACGGGCACGATGGACGTCACGACGTCGCTCAACCTCGCACTCGGCTGCAACGCGTCGACAGCGTACCCCTACCAACCCCGGTCGCTCTGCACGGACGCCGCGTTCGTGCAAACCATCACAGGTCCCGAGTTCTCGACCCTGGTCCAGCTGCATTTTGCCTACTTTTCGCTGCCGCCGACCGACTACCTCGTGCTCTCAGGGTACGAGAATGGGACGCGCAAAGATGTGTTTTACTATGGCCAGCACATCCCCTCCGGCGCGAGCTTCAACGCGACGCCGATCTTTAACCGGACGATTACGCTCTCGCTGTACACGGGCATTTTCAATCCGAACCGCGGTGGCGGCTGCGCGGGCTTTCACATCGACTTCATGGTCAATGCCGTGCCCGGCGAAGGCTTTGAGAGCCAGTGCGGGCCCAAGGACGTCACATTGGAAGCTGCTTGCTTTGAGGGCTCGCCTGGTATTTGGCGCAACGCGCAAGCCGTCGCACGCCTCGTCATCAACCGCGGCGGCTCGCTCTCCGGCTGCACGGGCTGGCTCCTCGGGGACCAAGGTCACTTTGTCACCAACAACCACTGCATCAAATCGGCAGCGGACGCGGCTGGCACGCGCTTTGAGTTCAAGGCCCAAGCCACCACCTGCCCGCCGGCGGGTACGGACTTTTGCAAGAGCCAACTCGCGTGCCCGGGCGAGATTTACTCGGGGGGTGTTCAATTTGTGTACACCAACGCCAACTTGGACTATACCATTGTCAAGCTCGATGCGTGGGTGACCAAGAAGTACAACTTCATGCGGCTGCGCGCGCGCGGCCCGACGCTGCTCGAGCCAATTTACATTGTGGAGCACCCAAACGCGTATGGAAAACGCATTAGCAACAAGAACGGCGACGGCGTCGCGCAGCTCCGCGGCCCGTTCACGGCCACAGAGGCGCTCTACTATCTCGACACGCTGCCAATGGCGTCCGGATCGCCGGTCCTCGGGGTCCGAGACAACTTGGTCGTGGCGCTGCACCATGGTGGTTATACCAACTGTCCCAACGTCGGTATTCGCAGCGACTTGATCTACAACGACCTCGTGCGCATCAACCTCCTCCCGTCCGACTCGTGGAAGTAGATAAACGACTTGCTCGCGACCTCTGTCCTCTGAAGTTATGGAACACAGTACTTACTAGTGAGGTGAAAGAAAAAGATCACTTTTACGTGTCAGCCGCATGACCCAGTTTACGACCCGCGGTTGTTGCAAGCGTAGTAAGCGCACCCAAGTGCAAGCTGCAACTGCAAGCGGCTGGCCCAAGAATTCTGTCGCATGGGCGCATTCCGGCGCTGTGAGATTCCCCTCAATGAAAGCTCTCGGGGAATCGATCACCAGCTCTTGTAGTCTCTCGTAGCCGCTTTAATACTGGCTGTTGTCCCGTCGACGAGCATACGAAACCCCGCGAAGCCGGGGGCGAATGAGCTGCAGAGACACCAACGGCTCGTCATCTTTCAAACGTCGACCAATCCAAAGCGGTCGAGAGTGCAGAATACCACTCCCAGCGACGGTTCTCAGATTTTCATCCCACTCTTTCTTAGCGGCGGACGACAGCCCGTTTCAACCCATCCGTTGCCCGTGCAGCCCGAAGCTGCAGCCCGAGGGCTGTAGTATCGCGCACCTCGAGTCCCTGCAACTGCTGCCTACTCGAGATGGCGTGAACGATGAGGTAGACGAGCTGGTACGCCAATTCTTGACTTGGTTGCACTCGCAATGATGGAGAAAGGGTCACCAGTTGAAGGGTTGAAGGCCATTGGGTACACACGCGCATCCTATGTTACTTTCGCTGCAAAAACATCCACGCGGGAATCTGTGGGCGGCTCAGATTCAGGGTGCCCAACCCCGAAAGGATCAAACCATTGTTCAATTCGCTCCATCATGCGCACTGCCATCGCCTGCCTCGCCCTCGCCTCGGCGGCCTTTGCCTCGACCGCGTGCACGACGGACCGCACCATCAAGTACCTCGGGTACGAGCTCACGTTCGACTGCGAAGCCGCCTCGGCGGACCGCTGGGCGTACACGCTCGGCTTTGACAACGGCAAGGCCAAGCGCCCCAGCGGCTTCTACACGGACCCGAACCTCCCGACGACCTGTAAGCAGCAAAAGTCCACGGGTGCCTATGGCAATGGCTACGACCGTGGTCACCTCGTCGCCTCCAACCACATGGACGCGAACGAGACGACGATCCGCGAGGCGCACTACATGACCAACATCCTCCCGCAGATCTCGAGCTTCAACCAAGGTATCTGGCAAAAGAC